GTGCTGAGGATCGAACCCGGGCCGCACGCATGGCAGGCGAGCGCGCTACCGCCTGAGCCACATTCCCAGCCCAACTACTTTTAATTTTTGATGCATTTCAGAGTTGTAGAATCAGCATACTTCACGGCTAAGCCTTTCTTTATGCTCATCATTAACTACAGTTCAATAGTTGTTTATAATTTAAGGGAAAAATTACATCTAATGAGRTGCACACATTTTAAGTGTACCATTTGATGAATTTTGATAAGTGCATACCTGTGTGCCAAAACCCATATATCAGAATATAGAACCATCAGCTGGGTGTGGTGGCACATTGCCTGTAATCCCAGCAACTTGGGTGCTGAGGCAGGAGGATTTCAAATTCGAGGGCAGCCTCAGCAACTCAGTGAGGCCTTAAGCAACTTATCAAGACCCTGTCACAAAATAAAAATAGAAGGGGTTGGGGATGTGGCTTAGTAGTTAAGTATCCCTGAGTTCAATCCCCAGTGCCAAAATAATAACAACAACAATAATAATAATAATAATAATAATAATAATAATAATAGAGTACAAATTAGATTATTATTTTTTAAACCTTTACTTTATTTTTATGTGGTGTTGAGGAACAAACCCAGTGCCAGGTAAGCACTCTACCACTGAGCTACAGCCCCAACCCCTAGATTATTCTTTTGATACAACTTAGCAAACTTTTTTTTTAAAAAATATATTTATTCTTAAGTTTTAGATGGACACAATATCTTTATTTTACATTTATGTGGTGCTGAGGATCCAACCCAGTGCCTAGTGCATGCTAGGTGAGCGCTCTGCCACTCAGCCACAACCCCAGCTTCTTGCTACATACTAGGATAAGATATTCTGGGCTCATCTTGTATTTTTTTCCTCCCTGAAACCTGAAACAATCAAAACTTTAAGGATCCTAGCTTCCTTTCTTAATAACAAAACATACTATTTAGAGACTATATTCTGGGTGCTAAGGGTGTTTGCAGCTGCCAAGTTGATCGCCATTTCAAGGCTCTTTCAGTGAGTATGACTTCTTGTGCAAGGTATAAGGTCCATGTCTAGATTCATTTTTTTTTTTTAGATGTGATATCCGGTTGTTCCAACACTGATTTGTTGAAAAAATTGTTCTCTCCCCATTGGATCGCCTTTGTTCCTTTGTCAAAAATTGGTTGGCTGTATTTGTGTGAGTCTTTTCCCAGGCTATTCTGTTCATTGATCTATCTCTATCCTTTTACCAAAACCATCCTGTCTTGGTTAGTACAGTTTTATACTAAGTTGGARGTTGGGCAGTTTCAGTCCTGTGACTTTGTTCTTCTCCCTCAATGTGGCATTAGCTATTCTGGGTCTTTGCCTTTCCATATAAACTTTAGAACCCCGTTTGTTGATATCCACATATAACTCACTGGGATTTTTATTGGAATTGCATTGCATCTGTAGAGCAAGTTGGGAAGAACTAAAATYCTAACAATACTTACGGTCTTCCTATCTATGAACATGGAATATCTTTCCATTGAGTATGGCTTTTAATACTTAAGTGTGGGGGCTGGGATTGTAGCTCAGTGGGAAAGCACTTGCTTGCCTCACATGTGTGAGGATTTGATCCTCAGCACCACATAGACAAATAAAATAAGATAAAGGTATTGTGTC